TCTTTATATTTTCTTGGCTTCAAATTGTTCGATCTTCAAAGAAAATAGAAAATAAAAAACCTCGTCTTGCCAACACATATGTAGAATCAAAGAAAAATAGAAAATATATCACTTACAATAGAAATTAGAACACCACCATTTAAACATAAAAATATTGTGACTACAACTACAAAAACAAACAAATACTCTTGTGTTTCTGTAAATTAAAGGTCAAGTCTCACCTAAATTCATAGGTTAATATCCAAATCAATGACAAAAAATATATTTCTAACCATGTACAACATGAAATCTAATAAAAGCCTACTTTGGATTTGTTTTTTGTTCACATGCGATTTAAGAAAGACAAAGCAAAGTATCATTCTTCAATAGCAGTAGTATTCAAATGTGTTTTTTCCATTACCATTTTCAACTTATTAGAGGCTTTGGACTCTTTATATTTTCTTGGCTTTAAATTGTTCGATCTTCAAAGAAAATAGAAAATAAAAAACTTCGTCTTGCCAACACATCTGTAGAATCAAAGAAAAATAGAAAATATATCACTTACAATAGAAATTAGAACACCACCATTTAAACATAAAAGTAAAATATATATATATATATATATATATATATATATATATATATATATATATATATATATATATATATATATATATGTTGTGACTACAACTAAAGAAACAAACAAATACTCTTGTGTTTCTGTCAATTAAAGGTCAAGTCTCGCCTTGATAACACATCTGTAGAAACAATATGATGACAAAAATGTGTATTATAATAAAAGAGAAATAGACGATGAATCGATGAAAAAAATCACAACATGTGCCATTAGGGTTATTTGTTACTTCTGTCATTAAAGTTTCTGGATCGAGATATTTGTTACTTCTGTCATTAAAGTTTCTGGATCGAGATATTTGTTACTTCTGTCATCAAAGTTTCTGGATCGAGATATTTGTTACTTCTGTCATTAAAGTTTCTGGATCGAGATATATATATATATATATATATATATATATATATATATATATATATATATATATATATATATGGTCGCCGATGGTAGTTCCGTTGTACTTCTAGATCTAGATCCAGATCTAGACATCGAGACAAAACAAGGGCATATGCTGGAGATCGTTGGTTGTTACAAAGAGATGGCAGCGGTGAACGGTGGTAAGATGAAGTTAGATGGTGGTGAATACGTTGGCATAAGGTGGCAATTATTGCCTTTTCGTCATATTCCTTCACTGGTCAGAATGATGGTGGGAATGAGTGAAGCTTCTTCCATTTGTGGTGGCGTACATGGGCAGTTGGTATCACGGGACATAGAGAGAAAGCAATAAAAAGAGAAGAATTAGAAGATTGGGAAAACATATACCTTAATTTATCAGAGAGGAATACTGAAGAGGTGGGGGAGAATCAGAGTTTTCGAATGTGGGGTTTCTTTCCGGAGATACAAGGTGTCAAACTTTGAATGATCCGAAATTGAGGGAGATAGATCATATTTGCTGAAAATTATACTGATTCAAAACGTGGATAAAGGTCAACTTAAATTTAATATTATTTTATTGGTGACCACTTGTCCTGTCAGCTTAATGGTTTTGTCGTTTTAAAAAAATAATATTATTATATTCAATCTATTTATAGAAATAGTGAGATTTCTTTTATAAGATAGTAACATAAATACTAAACTTTAAACTTAAATAATATTTAATTGTATTTAACTTTATAATAAAAAAATTAGGCCACTCCGGTGTTGATGTGACTTTTACTTGAAAACTTTTTATTTATCTTTTCTTATAAAATATAAAATTATTATTATTATCATTATTATTATTATTATTTGCAGCCCATCTACGGTTAGGAACATTTAGCCAAAATATATAAAGTTAAAAAAAATATATTTAGGCTATTTTCGGATGTTACAAGTTAGCAAAACTCTTTCCAACGGCGGTTTCAAACAAAAAGCAAATTTTTCTCTCATTTTTATTTGTTTTTTTATTGTTTACCTTGTAATTTAATGGTATCTGGCATAGATATTTTGTAAAGAAACGTAAGAAAATAATAACCCGAAAACAAAAGAGTGGGTAGGCCACATGCGGTGTACAAGCTATTGATGCACAAAATGTGCATTAGCAATTTGTACACCGTAGCTGCAGAACCCATCTATGGTTTTTTGTTTTTTTTTTTTTTCGTTTTTTTAGTTTCTAACATGTATAGTGATATAGTTTTATTATGTGGTATGCTATTTGGGTTGATTGGGTATTTTGAACTAAATAATATTTGAATGCTAAGAACGAAATAGTAAGTGGAAGAACAAAATAGTAGATGAGGTCTTCCTAAAACCAAATTGTAGCTTAGTTGAGAGCATATTGTACGTGAGTAATTTCATCTACGGTTTTGTCAAAAAAACAAGTGGATTTTTTATACTACCATGTCAAACTGTAGTCGAGTGTCGAAACTGCAGTTGTGTTTGACTCGACTATGGTTGGCTATTTTTGGCTATTAAATGAAAGTCATTAACAATTTTGGCTAGATTAGTATGTTGGTGTTGTTGTTGTTATTATTATTATTATTATTATTATTATTATTAAGTAGTTGAAAAACAAAGTTTGCAAAGACAAACCGATACACCTCTACTCTCATCTCAACCAACACATGAACAACACAAAGTACAACCCAACATCCACACCACTCCAAGTCCTCATTGATGCCAGAGCATCTGAAGTCAAAACGGTCAAAACATTCATCATCATCATCGAGGAAATCCAGGAGTCCATAAGCAAACAATAAGCTCTCATCCAAACTCTAAAGGATGCATGATCAGTGAAGCTTCAAAATAGTTGTTGTCTTTTACTTTAACTTCTCAGTTTCAAGTTGTCTTTTGCTTTAAGCTATCAGTTTCAAATAGTCATCCTCTTTTGAGTTTATGTTATGTATCCTCTTTTGAGTTTATGTCATGTGTTAAAATGTATGTACTTGTCTATCTTAAATATATAAATGGTTAATCTATGAAATCCTCTGTTAAATATATTATTTGATTATGCAAAACCAAAAACCATCTGCCACTAACTATTGCATGTACTAAAATGCAAATCGATATAACATGATACGTCTGTCCCGTTGCGAAGAATGGGGAAGCCTCCTAATTAATATTAATCCCTATCCCCGTCCTCTTCATTCATTGGTAGGCATAGCCCTTGTTGTCGTCCATAAGATTATTTCATCATGAATATCCCTCCCTCTGTCGAAGAATAATGTTAATTGGCAATCAAAATCGGTCATTAATCGAACTATATGATTAAAATTATTTAAAACGTCAAATAATCAAAATTATCAAAAAAAATCTCAAAATTAAAGAATGAAAATATGTGAATGGAAAACTAAATGTCCTGATTTTTAGCTTCGCATTGTCTCTCGTCATGCCACCGGCTATGTTTCTCTGTCTCTAATCATATCGATATCGACCTATATGCCGACAAATATAAAAATGAAACGAAATTTGCTTTTTGGTTTAACTTTTACATCTATGTATAATATTTGAAATATATTGAGCATAAAAATAATGGTATTTTAATATTTGATGATATTTATCTCCAAATAAATTACTTTATAATTTAAAATCACTAATTAATCCTCTTATAACCGATTAATTTGTTAACCGTAGTTGACTGACTAGTTACCTCGTAACAATTTTTTGAATAGAAAATTATAAATATAGCTTAATTCATTAATGACTTTTCACAAAATAATAAAAAATTAGGAGTTTTCACAAAATAGTTATACAAAACAGCATATTGGGGAGGCTCGTCTGTGGTTTCGTGAACTCAGCTTCAGTTTCGTCGAATCCAACCAAACACGTTTTCGGTTTTGTCGTCTGGGTTTAGGTATCATAGCATCGTCTCCGATTTTGACCAAGTCTATAAAAAATCATTTCTAAGATGACAAAATCGCATGTGGCATTTGGCCATATGTGGTTTCCTCTCATCTCATCCGTGGTTTCCACATAACTATGAAAAAATCGGATAAACAACAAGAAAAACGGATAATATGAAGAACGAAACCGAAGATGGCATTGCCTCATATGCAGTTTCCGTATCTAACTTACGATTTTATTCTTCGGTTTTTCGGTATTATACCCTAAAATCATACAAGCTACTAGTACATATGTAGGGGATACCACATAACTATGAAAAAACATGGATAAACAACAAGAAAAACGGAATAATAAAGTAATATGAAGAACGAAACCAAAGATGACATTGTCATCTGCAGTTGTGCAATTTTTAATGCATAATTTGTGCATTGCATACTTGTATCACGTCTTCGTCATATTTTACAAATTTCCGAATTTGTGGGCAAAAAACATAAATATAAGTAGTAAATAACAGTGTAAATGATAAAAATCTAAATAATACTCCGTACATCAATTACAACATTGTTTCAATCTTTAGCCATGTGAAAGAACTTCTTTGAGTTTGATTGGGAAAATGACCTCAGTTCTTTTTGAACTTTAAATATAATGGGTTAATGGGCCGGAAAACCAAAGCTGGGCCATGAAACCACAACCCAAAAGATAAAACCAAAAGCATTTTTGATCGGATTTGAGGATTTTACGAAAGTGCTAGTTTTTTTAATTGGCAAATACAAATATATATAAAATTATTCTTAAAACTATTTCATTTATGTCGACAGTGAGACTTAAACCTTCGAACTAAAAAAAGAAAACAATACCATTAGGATAGAAAACTTTGGTTGACTAAAGTTCACATGAGCTTCCTAATATGCGATGGCTATTTTTGTAAAAACTCTCATGTTTTTGCTATTAATTAAGAAATTAAGTAAATTTAAGTAATATTATATGGTACGGAACACGAAAAACGTAGTAAAGCGTTAAAGGTAGCATCGAGTTCGAGGGCGCATCGTTTAGCCACGTGTTTACGAGACAACACTGTCCATGCCGGTTTAGGGGTAGTGACGTAATCTCCTATTTCATTTTGCAGGACCTCCGTTTATACTTCTCGTTTCCGTATCTCCCATTTCACTTTTCAAGATTCATCCATCATTTCTCCCCCAAAAATTCTTTCACCATTGCAATTGATCATTAAACCCTTTATCTTGGAGCCAATTTACTTCGAATTCTATTAGCAGATATGTGTGGAGGTGCCATCATCTCCGATTGCATTGCGCCGACAACAAATCGGTCTCCCCGTCTGACCGCCGAACTTCTCTGGAATACCCATCTCTTAACCAGCCCAAGTAATCGTTACTCAAAGCGTTTCCCATCCCACGGTACAGATCTTGACGATGATTTCGAGGCTGATTTTCAGGGATTCCAGGATGAGCTTGAAAGCGAAGCAGATATCAGCAAGTCTTTTCCCAAACACTCTGCTCCTGCTTCTGGTATCATGTTTCTCTTTTGTTTTTGGGTATCCAGATTAGATTGATATTCACATGCAGAATGTATATTTGTTCCATTTTAATTAAGAGAACTCATACGAAATTGGAACTTGTAGATTCGACTCATAACATGACCAATTGGGTTATCTGAAAGTATATATTTGTTAAATTACTGAACTTTATGTCGATTAAATTTACAAACATAGAGAGATAGAGAGGGGGGTGTTGGTTTCTTTGTTTTGGGTGTTTCTTGAATTCTTGTTTCCTGATACATATTCTTGAATTAGGCTTAAGCTCTATAAAGCAAGATGATGAAGCTGAGAAATCAGGTTCAAGGAAAAGGAAAAACCAGTACAGAGGAATCCGTCAACGACCTTGGGGTAAATGGGCTGCGGAGATCCGTGACCCGAGTAAAGGGGTCCGAGTCTGGCTTGGAACTTTTAATACTGCTGAAGAAGCTGCACATGCTTATGATGCAGAGGCAAGAAGGATTCGTGGGTCGAAAGCAAAGGTTAACTTTCCAGACGTAACTTCTTCACTGAGACAAGCCATTAAGCCAAAGTCCCAGAAACGACTTCCTAAGGTTAATTCAACCCTCAACCAAGACATGAATAACAGAAACTATGGTTCACTTGAATCTGTGAAAAAGAAACCACAAATTACGCCTGTTGATACTTTTGAGGATATGTTTGAAGTATCTTATGTTGGTTCTGATCATGGTAGCAACTCCGACTTTGGTTATATGAGTCCTGCAAAGAAACTGAAGTCAGAGTCTTCAAATGTGGTGGCAGAAGGTGACATGTCTCTTTCTGATGACTTGTTGTTTCAAATGCCGTGTTTTGAAGAAAGCTGGGGTTCTTGTTCCATTGATGCTTTCGTCAATGGTGGAAGTGGGGTCGATCTTTGGACCTGTGATGACCTTGCTGCCATGATGGATGGATCTTTCTAAGTAACCATAAGGCCTCTATAAATAAAGGTTTCCAATGTCATTAAATCATGTCTTGATTGACTTTTGTATGGAGAGTACATAGCTTATCATGAACTAGGTTTCTTGAGCTTGAAATGAATCTGTATTTTGTAATTTTGAACGCATGGTTGGTTTAAAGTTTTTAATTTGTTTTCCATTTGTACAGTGGATGTTTCTGTTTGTTGTTCCTTACTTCCATTATAATAGGGTTTCTTCCATAAGGTCCAGATGGATGGAGTCAAGACTATCTTTGTAATTTCAGATATGAAACTTAGAAAAACAATTTTGAAGGTTTTGGTCAATTGTGTAAATGTGAGATTTGTTTGGTGCGTCTATGTTCATTGGTTAAGTCAACGTAACAAAAAGGATAGATTCCACACCCCCATAAAACGGTATACAAAGCACGAATGGGTCCGTGGTATATGTTGTGGTATATGTTGCCACGAACCACCATCGTGCACACCATCCCGGTGTGTCGTCGTGGTCGTTGCATTTCGTGATGGCTATGACGAGGGTAAACGATTAATCGGAAACCTTTGCCCAATTCGACCGTTTATAGGTCCAATTTTCTAGTTTTTAATTTTTTTTACAAACTCAACACATATAAACACAATACATCAAATTTTACACTCACCTTTCATCAAATTTTACACTCTCGTTCTCTGAAACAAAATACATGGATTTCTTTAAAAATTTTGACTCGGATGATGAAGAGGAATTCATCTCGGCCTTCTTCAACGTTGTACGACACATTCACGATGAAGAAAGTTCGAATGTTGCGCATTCAAGAGTGGTCATCAATTGTGATCGTCAAGCCACACACGACTTATTGGTACGTGATTACTTTGCAGATAATTGTATTTACAATGATGACTCGTTCAAACGTCGTTTCCGTCTAAATAATGCTATATTTTTACATATTAGTAACGCTTTAGAGGCCCGTCATGATTTTTTTAAACAGAAACCCGATGCTAGAGGAAGAATGAGTTTTTCTAGTATACAAAAATGTACGGTTGCGTTTAGGTATTTGGGATACGGTATAGCATTTGATACATCCAACGAGTACTTAAAGGTATCCGAAAGGACCGCAATTGATTGTGTTTATTAGTTTTGTGCATGTGTCTATGAGGTTTTCCACAAAGAATATTTGTGTAAACCTACTCCACGTGATATTGAAAGATTATATTTGGCTCATGCGGAGAGGCATGGATTTCCGGGTATGCTTGGTAGTCTAGATTGTAGGCATGTGGTTTGGGAAAAATGTCCAAATGTGTGGCGCAGACAATTTACGCGAGGTGATATAGGTGAGCCAACTATAATACTAGAAGCTGTTGCATCTCTGGATTTGTTGATACGAAATTCGTTTTTTTGGAGTTGTGGGGTCTAACACATTAATGTTCTTGGTCAGTCTCATCTTTTCAACGATATTTGGACCGGCAAAGAATCTGATATGTCATTCATGGTGAACGGGCATCCGTACAAATACGGTTACTACCTTTGTGATGGGATATACCCTGATTATTCTACATTTATGAAGACGTACTCGGTTCCTCGAAGTGAAAAGGCAAAGTTGTTTACAAAAAGGCAGGAATCCCACATCATTTAGTCTTATAGTATTAGTTATTCATTTGTGTCTATGTTAGTTTGTTGTATTTAATTCTTATCTTATGTATCTTAATAAATAAATATCATTTATATCAAATGTCAACTTTTTTTTAATTAGACACATGTCATTTTTTGAGAATTTTAGAACTTTATTTCACTTGTCATTTTGCTGTTTTTTTTAAATTTCTTATTCAAACGTCACTTAGTAAATATCACCTCATCTTAATTAGTTTTTATTAATATATTACTTAATGTATATTAATGTAGATGGTAAGATCCCATTTATAAATTTTTATATTTTAGGTTTGGAACAAAAAGAAAAAAAGTTCTTTAAAATACATATTTAAACTATAATAAAGAAAATATTGTTGATTTTGAAATCAAAACTCTTAAATAAACAAAGAGTTCAATTTCTAAAGTTGAAAAATAATTTTTTATTATTATTATTATGGTTTGAATCGAAACTTGACACATTTTGACATTAACTCGTTTCTATACATATAAAATATCTTTGATGATACCTTATAAACAAAACAATCTAATTATTTTCTTTCTAACTATATTTTTTAAAACAATGATTCTATATATATAAAAAACATGACACATTTTGACATTAACTCGTTTCTATACATGTTATATTGACAAGCAATGACTTGCGTCCATGTGATTTATTAAAATTTAGCTTACATATATAAATATAAATTTAAATTACGACTCTATTAGCATATTTTGTTTTTTAATATTTATACTATTAATTATTATTATTATTCTTAATTTTTAGTTATTCAATTAATTTAATATCAACAAAACATAATATATAATATGTTATTGTTGGGTCGAAAATATTATTTATACTTTGCTTTACTAGGGATTTGTAGTTTTCGGTCTAGTGTCGAAAACAATCTTGGGTTTTGTTGTAGTTTGGACCTAAATCTCATATGATTTCGGTTTAGCTATTGAGTTTTGGGCTTGGGTTTTCGGTTCATATATATAAATAGTCATTAAGGGCGTGTTTAGGAGGGAGACACTAGAGGCTAAGGAGTAGAAAACGTTCAAGGGGCTGATTTGTTGATATCTTGGTGTTCTAGAGAGAGAAAGTAAGAGAGAACTTGTGCGTGTGTGTGTGAATCTTGTGTACATGGATCATTATTGAATATCATTGAGTGCAATGAAGATTCATCTTGTTCTTCTTCTTCTTCTTCTTCTCTATTTGATCTTGCATCATCCACTTGATTGGGATTCCGCACCATCAACTGGATCGGATTGATACATCAAAGCGATTTAGGGACTTACAAGTGGTATCAGAGCTTGGATCGTATCAATTAAATTGGCAAGATATTGAATGTTTTTGGACTTTTTCTTGAAGGTTTTGGCGTTTTTGATTTGTTTTTGAAGAAATATTGGGTGTTTGTTCTTCGTGTTCTTCATAAAATTGAGTTTTAGATCGAGTTTTGCTTCAAAATTTGGAAAAAACGTGTTTTTTGGTCGTTCCCAGCGAGACTCCGGCGGCCATTTTCGGTCAGGAGGTTGGGTTTCCGAGGTGTTTTCGGCCGAAAGCTCGTTTGCGGTCGAAAGCGAGGGTTCTCAGTTGCGCGTCTCGGAGTTTGCGGTTAAAAGCGAGTTTACGGCCGAAAGTGAGAGTTCTCGGTGGAGCGTGCGAGGGTTTGCGGCTTCGGACGTTTTCGGTGCACGTGTTCGGTTCTCATTTTCGGTCTCGCATTTTCGGTCAGAGGGTGTTGTCGGTGCGAGACTTCTTGGTCAAGCTTGAGAAGCCTCGTATTTTCGGCCAAAAACTCATTTTTTTCGAATTTTGAAGTCTTGTTTTCGGCATAAAGCTTTGACTTTCGATTTTTGACTTTCTAGTTTGACTTTTGACCTTAAAAGTTGACTTTGACTTTCAAGTTTGACCTTTGACTTTAAACTTTGACTTTCTCGTTTAACTTTCAAGTTTTCATGTTGGCTTTTCGTTTTGACTTTTTAAGTTTGACTTTTCGGTTTGACTTTCAAGTTTGACTTTCGAGGTTTCAAGTCAAAGAGCATTTTTGGTAAACAATGAGTTCTTCAAACATCAAGGTCAATGAAGCTTCATGTTCTCAGTCTTGTGAAGCTAAAATCAAACTTTATTGTGATCAACATGACTTGTTAAAAAGGGAAATTGAGGACCTTAAATATGAAGGATGTACACTTAGGAAGGCCCAAAAACCCTTAAAAGAACAACTAGAGGCCAAAACCAAGGACTTCCGAAAACTTCAAGAAGAATATAGCAATAAATGTGAAAATTATGACTATGCTAAAAAGGAAATTGTCAAATTAACTGCCGAATTTGATGCATTGAAAGATAAATATAAAGATGTTGAATTCAACTTTAAGAAATTTGATGTGTCAAGTGAGGTAGTTGCATCCATGATAGAAAAACAATTAAAATTTAAAGATAATCAAAATAAAGGTCTAGGATATCATAGTGTTCCACCTCCTTTCAATGACAACTATAACCCACCTCTTGAGACCAACGAGGAAGAGATGTCTGCTCAGTTTGGCTAACCCCCTGTACCAGCTTCAGTTAAAACTGAACAATCTGGGCCAACTGAGAATGTTGAGGTGAACGATACTAATGATTCTATTTCCTGTGCAGGTAAAGTAGTGGAAGATGAGAACAAGGAGAATAGAATTAATTCTACTTCTGTTGATTCTGTTGATTGTCAAACCAATGTCTCCTTGAACTCTGAATCTGTTTCTTCTAATTTTGTTGCTTCTAATCAACCCGTTGTTGGTAAATACAGGCCGCCAAAACAAGTGAAACAGACGGCTTGTTGTATGTGTGCATGTGGGAACAATCAGAAACAAGGCAAGGGCACGCCAACAGGGGTAGGCAGAAACAACTCCTACGTGAAGAAACATACATGTTTTCACTGTGGAACACCTGGACACATTGCCAGAAATTGTCCAAATCGTGCATATGTTCCCTACTATGCACGAGGATGGCAGAATGCGCCAAGAGGGAGATATTTCAAAAGAAACCCTTCGAGGTCACAATCAAACAATGGCGACTGGAATGCGAAGAAGGGCAAGAATCCAACTCCCAAGGACAAGAAGGGAATGTCAGCCAAGAAGCCAGATTCAAGAGATGGTTCTGTTAGACCAAGATCAGTTAATTCAAAGTCATCTCGGCAATAGGCTTCAAGTTCAAAAGAAAGTGCTAAGGCATCTATCCGATCAAACAAGAAATGGGTTAAACCCTACTACAGATGGGTACCAAAGGTTCATACTCCCAAATCATCTAATGATTCTAACATTTCTTCATCTTTTGTGTGTGACAAACAGGACATGTCATAGGAGAGAGTACCTTGCGTAGATGAAAAAGGTCAACCCAGTTTCAAAATGGACTGGGTTCCACAGACCAACTAATCCCGCACTCTGTGTTAGAGCAGCTATGGAGGCATATCATCAGACTTCGGTTTGTTGATAGTGGCTGTTCCTGGCACATGATAGGGGACATCTCTCAACTGTACAAAACTAAGAACCTTTAGTGAGGGTATGTGTCCTTTGCGGGAAAGGAAGAAAAGAAAGGATCACAAATGGGGATTGTACTTAACGATGTGAAGAATTTTTTGGATCTGTTCCGAGATTGAAATATGC